TTTTTTTTTTCCTAGAAGTACATTGTCATTCTCTGCTTTTTGCATATGCAACTATTAAAAAGAGATGCTAGGGGACTGTGCTGAGATTATGATGAGAAAGGTATCCTGACAGATGGCTGTTGTCTCCCAGGTTACTTTAATCTAAACCTTGTTTTGTCCATCTTTGTGCCAGCTCTGCACCAGAACCCTTCTTGTGAAAGGCTGTTGCAAGAGGTGTGGTTACTGCTTGGTCTGAGCTGCAGTAGGAGTGGTTCTATGCAATGCAGGCCTAGAGCTCTTCAACACAAAATTTCTATTTACAAGTAATGTCTCTTAGTCGTGTCTGAAAGAGTGGAGACTCAACAATTGCATGTGCTCAGTGTTCAGGACAGTAAAGCTTCATATGCATTCTTTCAGGTATAAACTTATTTCAAGTCTTTCATTTCTATAATCTGTCTGAACAGTTTATTTCTGTGTTATCATCTGCCCAGGTTCATGGGGAATACTTAATAATCCAAGAAGGATCAGAGCACTGCTTGCATATGGTACTGCCTTTTTAGTCTGGGACACAGTTTAGATAAAATGCTTAAGTGTGCTATTGTAGCTAGATTAGCTGAATAGGAATAATGTTTTTAGCAAGTTCTGAAGTGTTTCTCCTACTTTTTCTGTGTCTGTCTGGGCCCTGAGATACTACAAAATCGAGAGTTCTGCTCTATTGTCATTAGTAGTTCAGAGTAACTAGGAAATGTCCTATGACAGCAATAGTTAACATCAGAACCAGTGTGAGACTTGTGACTAAAGGCAGTGAAGCCAAGCCCAGCTAGAGCAGTGCTTGCTTCATTGGTCTTTTTGTCTTCTTCTGCTTGTGAGGTTGGGAGGCACCTTTAGTCACGAACATACTGCACTTCTCTGGAAGGTTATCTGGGCAAGCCCTAACTCTCCTCAGGCAGAGCAGCGTTCACAGGGTTGCTGCAGTCTGGCAGTTCCCAAGTGTTCTGTTAGAAGATTATCCGGATAATAAATCTGCTCCTTTCTGGGTAGAATGCTGTGTTTACAGTTTCTGTTGAAAAGCAGACATTGGCTGGGTTTGCCAATTTGGTGTATGCCACTTACCTTCAGCTGAATCATTAGTGGAATTCAAAGAACATTATGATCAGTGGAACGGCAAGACAAGACTAGTCCTTCACTTTCAGCTTTGCTTTGGTAAGGACAGCTCAAGCAGAAGGGCTTGTAATAGACTTCGTTCACCTCATCCTACTCTTGAGTGGACTAAATGTGGTGTAGAAGCAGGGACAACTGATTATATGTTCCTGCAGTTCAGAGTCTGGATGTCTCAAGTTCTGCTCTAGGGTTTGTGTGATAGTTTTGAGTCTTCTGTGCACAATTATTGGTGTTTTCTTAAAGGCCTGATAGGTTCCTGCAGTCATGAAAGCTATTCCAGTACAAGGGACTATTGAGCTGTTATCTGGCCCCATTCTGGTGTGCTTTGCTTCACTTCATGGCATACCCTACGTGGAGGACAGCAGTTGACAGCTTGAGAAAAGCAGAAGGTTTAGTTATGTTGGGCCAATGGGGAGCATAGTTGCTCTCATAACAATAACTAATTTAATAAATAAATCTCTTGTTATGTGATGTAGCTTACTGGCAGTCAAGGCGCATCCTACCAGAATCCAAGCAATAGTCCATGCAAACTTTCAGTGTCCCAAATGCACAAGCAATCTAGTCATGTATCAAGAATATTTTGCCTCTGATTTGCCTACGAGTTCTGGTAGCTGCTTGTAGAATGGTATTTTAAGAAGTACTGCACTAATGCAGCTGTGATTTCTTGTTTCCACTGCCCTGAAGAGACTGCAATTAATGACTGTATTCTATCAAGCCTTCAAAAAAGAGCATGCTTAGTTACCTGATAGTGCTTCTGATCCTAGAGGATGTTTATCATCCTTAGGAATCCTATCACCCACCTCCCAAGTCCTGTTCTGGAAATTTTCAGCTAACACAGGCTTTCAGATATGAAGAGAATTGAGTGAAATTGGAGTCATCCTTTTGTTTATGCAATATGGATTTCTGAGGATTTGTGCAGCGTGTGCAGAGCTTCAGAAGGCTTCTGAGTTCACGTGTGTGAAGCATCCCTGTGCCCTCTGCAAGTTCTGTGACAACTGCAGTTTTTGAAGGGAGGGATCTGCTATTTGTGTATTGAGTCTCCCTACTGTAAATACTGGCTGGGCTTAATGAGGTGTGATGTTTTTAAACTAGTATTTTCATAATTTTAATGTTTATAATGCTATGGCAATCAGGTTGTATGCAACTATTTATTGTAAAATGTGCCAGTCTTATGGTATTATCATACTGTCTTTTTTTTTTTTTTTTTTTCATGTAAAACAGCTAAATTCTTTCTTGAAATGCACTAGAAGTATTACAGACCTCTTCAGCCTGTTATACAGATGTTGATGGCTAATATTCTCAGAACCTCTGAGGAAAATGCCTTGCATTATTTTTCATCTTAGATTTTGCAAAAACTGGAAATGGAATAAAGGCCCATCTCAGGATTTGGGAAGTTTTGCTTTTGTATGCTTTTTTTTCAAGCTGAATATCCTCCACTTGGGTAAATGCATGTTCTTGTCATAAGTTGTCCTTTATCTAATATGGATGTGAATGTTATGTCTCAAATGAGCATTTGCATTTCAGGGAAGGGAAGTAACTGTTTTATTCTTCCTTTCTCTGTGTGTTAAAGAATGCTTTTTTGCACAGCACCTATTTTGCTAAATCTGCTCTTTCCCCTTATTAGATGCATAGTGGGAGAGTCAGTGACACATGGAGAAGGAGAGGAAGTAACAGAATTGACGTTTTCATGTGAGAAAGTACTTGTGATGTAAGAGAAGTGGGACATGCACACATACACAGGCTAAGCAGAAAAAGCTGACCAGATTTGCAGGTTGACTGGATCCTATCCATTTACCAGCAACTTTGGAAACATTACTTTAACAAAATAAATGTGGCTACAGATTCTTTTGAGGACTAACGATAATGAGTAGTTCTAAGGAAGTTAAAGCAAGAACATTTTGACTGTTTTGAGAAATATGTCTCCATGCAAGTTTGAGTTCTGTTGAATTTAATGAAAACTCTTTCTACTTGCTGTTGCATCATCAGTGGATATTAGAGCATCGTTTTGTCAGCAGAAAGTTGTTTTTCTGGAAACAGCCATTAAGGAACCATGTACTGGTCTGCACTGGATACTATGGGCAAAGCCACTGACTGTTAATAAGCTCTCTCTGGCAGCCAGGAAAGCAATAGGGAATGGAAAATACCAGTATATAAAGAGAACCAGGAAAAACTGGGCAGACTGTTTTTTAGAGGTATCCTTTCTAAGCCTAAAAAACCCTTTGTTTAAAAACCATTTAAATACCCAGAACTTCACTTTTTTTCTTTTCCTCAAGGACAGTGATTGAAACTTGATGAAGTCGTGGGAGGAAAAGATACTCAAAGATGTAATTATGTGTAGGTGTTTGGAAGGTGCAGGAGGGTTTCCATGAATCTAACATGCTTCTTAAAAATAATGTATGTTTGTAGAAATTTGAATAGTTCCTTTATAGATAATTTATATTTCTTTAAGTCTCCAAAAGGTCCATCTCAAAGATAGCAAAACAGAGGTGGAGAGTCAAGGTGTGAAGTATGCCCTGGCAAAATGCAAAAAGATTCAGGAAAATTCCCTCAGACTGCAGTGTTTTCTTTCTCCTGCTTTCAGTTCGTCATTCCTCTTTTCCATCTTTCTCTCCCTTTTTACCTCTAAAAAAAGTTCCTTTTCACCAAAACTCATGTGAATGCAGTGAAAGGAAGAGAGATAGGTTGGGTTAAGTATAGATTTATGTTCAAGTACACTGTATGTGTATGATGCAAGTGATCTGGCTAGATAGAGGCAGATGCTTTTCCTTGTTTCTTCTTTTTAGTGTCTCATGTAGTCTTCTAATAAATTAATCCAGAGAGATACGGTATCTAGACTGTAGACTTACTGTCAAGAAGGAAAACCTGAAGGCAGAGAGGCTTGGGAGCTTCCATAAGGCTGCTTATGGAAAGATTTGGAAGTTTTAGTCTCTTGAATAGGGGATAATTGTATTGTAAAGGCTTATGTCCTGAAGAGGTGTTAGAAATGATCAACTGTATTCCTGAAGAGTATAATTACAGAGATTTTGTTTGTTTGTTTTTGTTTTGTTTTCTAGAGAGAAAATATTGGTGCTCAGACCTAATCTGGCTTGCAAATACACATTATCCCAGCGTGGGATTCATAACTGATAATTAAGTTTTTTCTGTATGTTTGTCATATCTGCTGGTCTTCTCAGTTCCAATGAAGAATAATGGAGATTTAAGAGGAAGTGTGTAAAAGCTTTCAGTTGTTCGTTTTTTAAAATGAACCTCCAGAGAGAACACTTCCTCCTAATTCTCAGTTGTTACTTGACTTCAGAGTTGTTTATCCCCATTATTAAAAGTGCTAGCTGTTTGTGAAGATGTACTACAAGAAGATCACCTATTCATGTTACCCACTTAAACTCCTTTTTCAATGCTGCCATCCTCATGGCTTCAGCATTTTGTTACAAAGGTTTGGTGAGAGGAGTATACAGTGTGATATTTTTAATTATTAATTGAATTATTGTTAAAATCTACATTATAAGATACTGGCATTCATGTGGACTTTACAGGATGTAATTTAAAGCTTGCAAATATTTACTGACAGTTCAAACCACTGTGCTTTTTTTGTGGTGTATCCTTGTTTTCCATTTAGTTCTTCAAGTGCTCTGAGAAACCTGATCTTGTTTCTTATGTGCAGGTTTCAACGTGAAATTTTGTACTCGAGTGGCGAAGCCAAGAGTATGGCAGTGATACTGTAATGTTGGTACATCATAAATCCCAGAATTTGCAAAAATTTCTCCACTCTCACTCCTGACAAGCTGACAGTTCTAATGATCAGTCAGAGAATTAATGCATTTTTAAATCCATTTGAAAAATGGCTGTTTCTGCTGCTGCTTTCCAGGTTGAGAAATGGCGGCACAGTGTGTCACGAAGGTGGAGCTGACCATCGCCTGCACCAATCTCTTGGACAAAGACGTGGGGTCCAAGTCAGACCCACTGTGTGTGCTTCTCCAGAGCACGAGTGGGCAGCAGTGGTATGAGGTACAGAGTGGTGCTTCTCACGGATCTGCTGAAAGCACAGTCACACTTGTTGGGCCTTTTGAAATAGTGGAGCGTACGAGTTCATTAAAGCATTTCACTTGTATACCAGCACCTCTGAATACTTCACATTAGATTATGTCTAAAACACTTATGCAGGCAGCATACTAATAATTGTGTTCCTATAAATATTTACACCTGTCTTATTTTTAGCACCCAGTCATGTGTGGACCAACAGAAGAAGTCTTCTGAGTGCTTAAATGTGCTTTTATAAGTATAGTACTCCAGAACTAGAGTCTCATCCTGGATTTGACAATACTCCGTTTTTAATGCCGTTATTCCCCATGCAGGAATACTTGCTTCTTACAAGGAGCAAAGGAAAACAGGTCCTTGAATACCTCTGACTTACAGCAGTGGCAGTTTTAGTATAATGTGGGTATTTATATTTGATGAAAGGTTTGTAGAAAGATTATACTTTATAGTAGGCAGAACTTTTGAAAGTCTTTCATAATATTTTATTTGATTTGAGTGCTTGTTTGGTTGGTGAATTACCAGATAAATTGATATCTTTCTAACTGCAGGTGGACCGCACAGAGAGAGTTAAGAATTCCTTGAACCCCAAGTTTGCCAAGAAATTCCTAATTGACTACTATTTTGAGCTTGTTCAGAAACTTAAATTTGGAATATATGACATAGATAATAAAACCTTTGATCTGAGTGATGATGACTTCTTAGGAGAGTTTGAATGTACACTGGGACAAGTAAGTATGCAGTTGATTTCCCTTAAAAGAAAATACAAGTTACTGCAAATCATTAAACACTTTTCCCTTTAAATTTATTACTATATTCTTGTGTAGTTGGGGTACTTTCAAGCTGACTAAGATTCCCTTAATTTGTTTTTTCAAGCCTCAGTTCAGTGTATATACATTTTATTTGCAAAAGATTTTGAGTTGATGCCCTGATATATAGTCTGGGATGATAACTGTCGAGATTGCTGTTGGAAAGTGAGTGGACTGTCAATGAGCACGAAGTAGCAATTGCTATTTACTTACTGCTAAAACTCAAATTCTTATTTTTGTGCTCCATAAAAAGAGATGTGATGTATAGCACCATAAAAGTGTTCACAAAGGCCATGCTATAACCTTCTAATTTGATTTCAATTTAAGGCAAGCAGTGATTCTGGTTCTGCCTACTGTTGATTTCACTCCAGTTTCCCTGTCAAATTCTGCTATTCGTGTTATCACAATCAAGCAGCTTCTTTTTAATTTTTCTTTCTAATAGATCCTTCAGAGGCACTTCTCAGGAGAGTCTTCTTAAGATTATTCCTCCCCTGTGTCTAATGTATTTTTATTTTAAGTGCATTAGGAAGACAGGCATTGTGGAATGAAATGTGGCAACAATTTAAAGTTAAGAATTTTTTACATTCTTAAAGAAGCATCTGTAGGATGGGTAGACACACTTTTGAGAAAGCACTGCCTGAAGTGGATAGAATATATTCAACTACAAATACTACAGGGGGAGGCAGATGTTTGTGTGGCAAACATGATGTTTATAGATCTGTTTGCTAAAGCCCTGTATGAAATGTGGCTTCCTTTTTTCTTATGCTATGTATGAAAAACTTAAGAACAATGTGAGATTGGAACTGAAGATATTATCTTTATATGTGTATCATGTTATTAGAAGACATTTTATTTAATATCTATCCTGAAACTCTGCATCTGTGTATCTGCATATATATTTTAAAATTTTTGAAGTGTATCAAGTATTATCTGTTTATTTATAGGAGATGGTGGGAAGTACATGTGAAGCTGTCATCCTCATGACAAATGAAAACTTTCTAAAATGAAAATATAGTCTCAGTTCATTTCTTTGAATATTTATTAAAGTGCACTAATAATGTTTGATACTCAAATTTTGTCTTGGCAGGTAGTTTCTAGCAGGACTCTAACAAAACCATTGGTACTTAAAAATGGCAGACCTGCTGGAAGAGGAAGTATTATGGTAAGACAATTAAGACAATAAATCTCTTCAGCATTTATCCTGAAATGTTTTTGTGGCTTTTTTTTTTAGTTAGTGGCTTGAACACAGTGTGTCTAATTTATAGTGCTGTAAAAAGTATCTTAAAGAATAGTTCCCCCTCCCCCCCCAGCATTTCTTTGTCACCCAAAAGGAGAGCAGCCCACCTTCTCCAGCTATAAGTCTCATTGCATTCATCAAAGTAATTAAGGCATCCAATGTGCTGCTGTTTAGGCATTGTATGTAGGTGTTAGTGTCGTCATCTAGTGAATCCAAATATCAAATAAAGCTGTTCCTCCTTCCCCCCACCCCCCATTTATAGATGCTTCATTTGTGAGCAAACATGATTTTTCTTTTTAATGAACCTGTCATAGGAGTTGTAAATTTGAGAAACTCATGCACTTCCAGAATACAAAATAGGTGTTTTGTTTGCCTATCTAGATTACAGCTGAAGAAGTAAAAGATAACCGGGTGGTTGTACTGGAAGTAGAAGCAAGGAAACTGGACAATAAGGTATTTAAATGCTTGCTGTTTCTTTGATAAAATAGTTGAATCAGAATCTTGCTAAAGCAAGATTCATTAAAAAGTGTGTTTTTTTTTTGTTTTTTTTTTTTCTGAAATAGTTAATCCATTAAGATTTTTCTTTGATTTCTTCTTTAGTTAAGAAAAATTGATTCAGAGTAAACTGGATGAAATTCTTAGTTTCCCAACTATCCATCATAGTACTTAGACATACATAGCTTTTGCTTGAACTGTCAGCTATTTAGTATGTGGACACTGCAGGACTTTCATCCTGAATTGGCACACACGTCCCCTTTTCTTTCTCCCTTTCACAAGTAGTAATGTAATCCGATTTACATTTCTTCATCTAAAGCTTTTGTTACCTGAATATTTAGTTTTAACTAGCATTTAGTAGCATTCATGCCACAGGCTGTTCTGGGATAATTACATGTTCTTTAAATGCAGGATTTTTTTGGAAAGTCAGATCCTTATCTGGAATTCCACAAGCAGACTGGAGATGGAAACTGGGTGATGGTTCACAGAACAGAGGTAGGATATTTTTAGTCAACAACCTAGAGATTAAGGTTATTTGATTTCCAGTGTAACATAGCACAAAAAAAAAACCCAGAGAATGGTCTGGTAGTTGACATGCAAACCAGATAGAAATCACCTCAACTGTTCCACTGAATTTGTGATAGAATGAGACGTCTGCCTTACTCTGGTTCTGATTTATGCCATCCGATTTTAAACAATTTAAAAAAACCAACAAAAAAACAGAAGACAAAAAAAACAACAAACCAACCAAAACCAAGCAAACAAAACTTTCTGCAATCTAGAGGAAAATGTATTTTGAAGGAGTGGTGCATACTTACACAAGGACATTTGTCTCAGTGCTACTCTGAGGGGAGAACTTGGGCATTCCTGTGACTGCTGTTCCTATGTCAGTGTCACCTGGCTTTACTAACAAAAGGAACTGTACTGAATGCTTGCACAGCAAAGGCAAGCCAAGGAGAGCACTGACTGAGGGAAAACTTGCTTGAGCAGCAACAGCATTGCACCCAGGAAGAGGTGCAGTGGTCCTGTGGCAGCGCCTTGACAGGGTAGGAGCATCTTCAGAAGTCTCGCTGTGGTGGAAGCTCAGGCCCTACTCATAACCGAGGTGCTGTGCAAATTTAAAGTGGTGACCATACTAATTTTGAAGCATGGATGTTGATGAAGTATAAATCCTTTTTGTGTGAGATTTATAGTCTCTTTCATGAGATTTTCTTTTTTTTTGCATAAAATATCTTTTCCATGATGCTTTCAGTCATCTTCAGTTTTGGTAATGAATCCAGATTTTTCTGTTATAGCCTAGACCTGGCTGGAGGTTTAGTACATTATGTTAAAGATTTAAAAAAAAAATATGTTCCTAACTATTATTTATTGGTTTAACTTTCAAAAGAAACATTTCTTTCTCTGTACTCCTACAGTGCTTGAAGTATAAGGCTTACTACTGTTAGACATTATTAAGTATTGCTGCTTGTGTGTAGTTTCTTGAACTTTATGACTACTACTTGGTGTATTGAGTATATTACAGATAATTTCCAATCGACAAATTCTGAGGATCTTTCAGTATTATTCTTAAATATCACTTATTTAGCGTTCAGCTTGAGAGACCTTTCGTCTTCATGAGCTGTTTCTGCTTAACTACAGCATAAATTTCTTGAGGGAATGTTTCTTTAAGTTACATTTCAGAATAAATATGTTGGAATGAATTGTAATCTCCAGAACATCAATATATTGAAAACTTTGTGTAATATTCTTCCATGTTTTTTGATAAGTCACACATTTATATATGTTTGTGTGTATCTGTGTGCATATTAAAAAACTTTGCAACATCAATATTTATGTAAAGATAAATTTTAATTTTTTGCTGCGTAGCAGGTGAATGTTATAGTAGATAACAGTGCAGTCTAGAAAAATGTGGAGTTGAAAGATACTGTCTTTTGGCCAGTGGTATTGCATGTTAAGAATGTTTAGTTTGTTTATATCCTATGTGTTAGCATTTGGATTGCAGTTGACACAGCAGCATTAGTCAACTGGTTTTGCTTACAAAAATGAAGGTATGACCACTTACAATGATTCCTTTCCACTCTTGTGAACAGTACTATTCTGGCTTTTGGGTTTTTTTTGACAGGTTATTAAAAACAACCTGAATCCTGTTTGGAGGCCCTTTAAAATCTCTCTCAATTCTCTGTGCTACAGTGACATGGATAAGTCAATCAAGGTAGTGTGTATGAAATGTGTGTATGAATTAGTGCATTAAAAAAAAATTCAATATGTAATAAACAGAATATGTGTTATTCTAGTTATTTTGTATTTGTTTCAAATTGAAAGTATTCGGTTTCTTATTTGAAAGTCACAGAGCTGCATGCATGTTTTAGGAGAAAAATGTGCCTCATGTTTGTGATGCATTATCTGGTTAATGTTGGTCTTCGAAATTCAGTCTGGGAAACCAGGTAACAGTAATAACTTTGAAATGTCCAATTCAGTTTCTTACTTGGATCATACAGTTTTAGTGTTGCATCAGCTAATATTTGTGATGTTAAGATATTGTATATAGTGAATGATGCATGGTAGAGGCTAGAATATCCTTTTTTCTACATTATGGATCTTGTAATACTTTGTTACTTTGTTACTGGTGCAACAGGTAACACCAATGAATTTCTTAATATACTGCTTGATACAATTAATTTCGCTTAGTATACTAGCTGAGATGACAGATGTGGACTAGATGTATCTTGTGGATACCAGATGTAGCATTTTTCTCCTCAGATAAAACTGAGCCAGCCAAACCTGTTGTGTGATCATTCTACCAGGCAGGGCTGGTATATAACTCTTTATATCTTCACATCTTATCTTGAATAAATTATGTTTAACTTCCGAATGTTTTTCTTAAGGAATTCCCTTTAGGGGTAGAATTGAAGCTGAGCAACCAATCAAAATGCCATTTCTAAACTATTAAGAGTATATTAGGAACCTGATATTTTAGCATTTGAAAAAAAATAAATAACCAAACCAAACCCAAAGAAACAAACCTCTATACTTGCCATTTTTTTCTGGGATGGAAAAATGGGAGTCTGATCTGCATGTGACAGTTATTAGTCATACGACTTGAGGCAGTCCTGGAAAGTGCTTAACAGACACAGGGATCTGGGTGTTGCAAGCACCTCAATGGATTTAAATACATAATTATAGAGCAGAACAATGAACTACTTTACAAGCCCAGAACCTGTTTACTGTCTGCTTCCCTCTTCCTCAGAACAGCTGTGACAGCTCTTACATGTCCATATATTGTAAGTGTATTGCTATTTTTCAGTAAACAGCCATTCTAAAACTATAGACCATAGGTTCAAATGCTTCTATGAAGATAGAGTTATTCTCAGCTCTGTTGTCATTTTAATAGAGACTGTTCTTTGGAATCCTGCCTCAGAGGTGTAGGTTTATTTCCAGAGGATTTTACATAGTCACTATGGACTTGTAGGCAGACAGTAGGATTATGTCTTAACTTAGAAATCTGGGAGCTGTCAATTAAAATATTAAAATGCAGACAGAATTGTTATTATAATGTTGTGAAAGAATTAAATAATACCTTTAACACTTTTATATATTTTTATATATATGTGCATATATATTTATATATGCACAGTTGCATGCGTAATGGGCTATTTGTCATAGTAAGTAAAAACCACCAACTTCTCTACAGTGAGTGATTCTTCACTATTTAATGGCTTAGTTTGCGTATCCCCAGCAATGCACAAACCAAGCTGATTCTCTCTCTTCTGGATTTATTGCTGTATTCCATGTGAGTGTGTTTGCAGTCTGTGAAGTTTTTGTGTAGAAAATGTGAGTGTTTCATCTGAAGGCAGCATGCCTGGTTCTGCTGGGGAAAATATCCGTGCAATTTTATCACATGGTTCCCTAGCACTATTGTGTGTCCAGGAGAGCATACATGGAACAAAATAAATACTTCTTTCTTGCCTGGAGTATTGAAAATTGGCTTAGAAGGGTCAAACATATCAAGCACGCCAAAATTTGATACCTTTTAAAGGAAAAATAAATAACTTTGCTAACTCTGAACAGGTATAACTGCTGGATCAGGAAATGGCTTCAGGTTTAAATTTCAGGCACTGAAGCACTTGGCTGAGTGTTTGATTGGCTTAATTTATGGCATTCAAAAGAATTTACATAGCATCTGCCATGAACATTAGTCTGTCAGTTCTATGGCTGCCTGTATGAGATTTGTTTCTATTCAGTGCATGTGCGTGCATTTATTACTGCATTCAGAGTGTTGTAGGAGCAGTGCAAACTGCAACATGGTCAAGTTTTGCCCAATGTAAAACTTGCAACATACACATCCTGTTTTGTACTTCCACATTGCTGTTTGCTTTCAGGGATTTAATTCCTCTCCAAGTCTTGAATCTATGAGCTTTTTTTGTTGTATTTGTTGTTTGCTTTACTTCATTTTTTGTAACTGAAGTGGCCAAGTAAACAACTAAATGGTTTCTTGAATATAATGTATGATTTTTTGAGTCTGGAAAGACAGACATGAAAAAATTCTTCAGTTTAAGCCATATATATTCAGCAAAGTTTTTCTTAAAGTAAACTTTGATTCCAAATAGTGGGGGATTCCTACTTTGACTTTTGATTTATTACTGTAATTAATTAAATTTTTAATAATAATTATAAATATTTTTTTTTGTGATTTAAGTTAGCTAGCATGTCTGTTGCTAAACTGAAATAAAATACTGAAAGTGGATGGAATTAACATATGCTATTCCAGATAAATAGCCAGCTTTTTATTTAGAAAGGCAGCTGGGTCACATTCATAAGTTGAGATTTAAAGCAAAAATTGAGGACACTGTAAGGTTAAGTTAACAGTGGTAAAATTATGCTCAGTCAAAATGATAGGTTCTCAAAACTAAATAAGAGTCTTCTTCACTTGCTCTGCTGCCTTTGGTCAGTTGGGGTGTTAAAAGATGAGCTGACTGAATAGTAAAACTTAGCATTAAACATTGTGAATAGAGGAAAAGGGGGGGTTTTAGTTGACATTTGATACATGAAGTGTGGATTATATCACAGAGACTTTAAATTTGCTGATCTTAAATCTAGAAAGAAGACTTGAATTTCTTTAGGGCTGAGCTTTCATACACTTATGAATTCTGACTTATCTTGAAGATTAAGAAAGTAGTATAAAACCCCATGATAGCTGAATAACAGATTTACTAAATTTTTAGCTGAATGCTCGGAGATAGTTTTTCTGTCATCATGGATTAAGAGAGTTTTTAACAGGTATTAAGAATAACTATCTGTATTGCTTTCTTACTCTTCTTCACACTCCCCTACTCATAAAAAGTACTTCAAAATAATTGATGTTACTCGCTTGTATGAAACCTCATGCTGCTTAGTATTCTGAAACTGGGTGTATTAACTTTTACCCATCTTAATCCATAATTTTTAAATGCAAATCTGTGCAATTCTAAGACTGCAATGTGAGGAAAACCTCCATGATATGAGATGTGGGAATGGTTTGGATGTTGAGGTTGAACTAGAAATGCTGTTGCAGTGTTTATTGCTTCTGTAGGGCCGTTTCTGGTACTGACACTAATAATGCTTCATTTTAGGTGGAGTGCTATGACTATGATAGTGATGGGTCTCATGATCTCATAGGAAGTTTTCAAACTACGATGTCAAAACTGAAGGAAGCATCTCGGTCCTCACCTGTAAGTCTTATATACTCTAGGCTGCCTGTAGGGTTTAGATAAGCTGTTTTATTCGTTTTGGAGCAAAACTTGGGTCACTTGACCTGCAGGTATCAATGCTGCTACACCTTAACAGTGCTGCTGTCACTGAGGCTGACTCAGCATTTACATTATGCATCTGCTTTCCTAGGATTAATATCTTGGTGGCAGTTTGTAGTATTACATATCTAAATTACATATATTACATATCTAATTAATATTACATAACTAAATACCCAACCATCAGCACAAATTAATTTCACTAAGCATAAAAATACAGAAAGCAAAAAATCTGAGATGTTAAAAGATGGAATGCAGTACAAATTTCACTATGATTAAAAAGCCATAGTCTGTAGTATTTTTTTCAGTTTTTATTCAGACCTTTATTTAAATTGTGGCACTCGGAACTACCATGCATACTTCAGTGAATATGAAGAAGTTCAACACTTGTGCCACTGCAGCTGAATGCATTACATTGTGTTGCTTTTCTTGAAAGTGAAATCATCTGTTCTTAGGAACTGTAACAGTCTGCAAACCTTTCAATAGGCAAGGTTTACTTATGGAAGAGGAAAGATGGCACAGCACCCTTAGCCTAAAAGTCTTTGTTTTATGGACATGTATGTTAGCAGAATATTTTACCATCTTTTTCTTTAATTCTGTAAGATCTGCAGAACTGCTCCTGCATGAATAGCAGTGGGATATTTATCTATAAAAGAATGCCTGCCTGTACTTTTCTAGAAATCTTGAGTGTTCGTTTGTACTAAATTCCTCAGAGCTGTTAAATGTGATGTCAGCCTTCACTGTAGTGTTCTTTTGATTCCTGCTTTTACCATGCCATGCTTTTCTTTTAGATACCTCTTTCTGAATTAATTTTGAATTATGGGTAGTTCAGTTTAATGCCTCTTCAGGTTTTATATTGTTTGTAAGGAATTTGGGACTCATATCCTGGGCATGTAATTCCTATGTTGCCTAGTTGGAGCGCTTAGGTGTTTTTTTTCTATTTTTTAGATTTTTCAGGAGCCAGATAGTATTAGTTTAGCTTTTAATGCTGACAGAAATCCTTCTCATTGTTGTAATTAAAGCGTACAAAAAATAAATGGAGGAACAGAAGGTTTTCATAGGATCATTTTTTTTCTGCTTTTTTAAATGGAGATTTTAAGAATCTTTTAACAAGATATTTTTTTCCATTCTGTGTTTGTTTTTTTTTTTTTTTTAAAGTTGCGCTTTTGTTACAGAGCAGTATTGGAAATGAAACAAATGTACTGGGTACTCATGTTTTCAAGCATGTCTTTTTTACAAGAACTGTGGTAGTGAGTTCCTGTGCAGTGTGGAGCATGTGGTATAAAGGCTCCTTGAGAATACAAATACCTGTTTTCACTACACCTTAGTAGGATAATAGGCACAGTCTCTTTTGAATTTAAAGGAAAAGTGTTTTAAGTTTATAATCGCCCTGTGCTCATTTTGGAAATGCCTTAAAGTCTTTGTGAGAACTATGGTTGTAGCAACTCTAGCTGTGTCAGTAAGAAGAAGCAAAGATAAGAGACAACACAAATAATGTGTTCCAGGTTTCTTCTACTTTTAAAAGGAACTAATCTTTAATACTGTGTGATATGATTAGTTTGATAGTGTCTGTAAAGTATTTCTAGTACACATTAGAATTTGGCTATATACTCCAAGTGTGATCCTTAGTTACTCCCACAATTCTGACTTCAACTGCAGCCATGGGAGTTTTGGCACAACTTCTTTCAAGTTTTCTTGAGGTGAGCATGGGTATGACTTTATTCTTAGTTGCTGAAAAGAACCAGATCAAGCTGATCTTGAGTGACTGAATGGGTGGCTTTTCATTCTCTGGAGAATTCCTATTTTTTTTTTTTTTTTCTTTTTTCTCTCCCCTTACCTTAAGGTATATTTTCTCCCCATGCTTGCTACTTGTAAGCTCTGGTTGGACGATTATAAAATATAGTTAAAAGATTGTAAATGTCTCATGGCCATTACTAGTGAGTACCTCACCAACTGAGATAGTACAAGGCCAAGTCCCTGAAAGACAGTTTCCATCAAATAGAAGTGATGCTGGTGGTGAAGTCTGGAAGAAAAAGAGGGTAACCTAGAGGCATGTAGAGTTCTCGAGTGCTGACCTTGTTAGTGCATTTTTTTTTGCTTGTAATTAGTTGCAAGATGACTTTTCAAAACCAAAGCAGTGGCAGCTGTTTCTGGCACTGCCAGGAGGCATGTCTGCAATGCCTCCTCAGGCAGTTTGTGCACCAGGCACACTGCAGTGTGCCATCCTGACTGTGGGGTGGCAGGAGCTGCCTGACCTGGCTTCGCCATTGGTTGTGCTTGGAGGTTAAGCTGCTGGATTAGTTGATGAAGGCTCAGCAACCCATTTTGGAAAGCTTAAACATATACCTCTTATTTCGTATGTTACCGCCACAGCTGCTGGAAACCAGTGATGCTTTGCCTGAATCACCATATCTACCACAAAAAAAAATTTACTAGTAGAACCCTCAGAGGGAAACTGTTGCAGAATCTCTTGGTCTGGTTGAAATTTAGTTGTGTAAGTAAGCACATTTGTAAGCTTTTGAGTAAGAGAGGATTTCTGTCTTGATAATGTGTTTTTTCTTGCTGATTTTGGGAAGGCTGGGTTTAATTTTGCTTGATAGTGGATTAAACTGCATTTTTAATACAAGCCCAAAGTATCAGTCCTAGAATAAAGAATTCTAATATTTGTTACATAAATCATAGTGCTTTTGTTGGATTTGTTTGCATTCATGCAGGTTGAATTTGAGTGCATCAATGAAAAGAAAAGACAGAAGAAAAAAAACTATAAAAACTCTGGCATTGTGAGCGTTAAGCACTGTGAGGTCAGTAATATATTCTGGGATGTCTCTTTGCTTTTAAGGGTTAAGGCATAACTCTCATATAGTGTGCCTTTACCCTCAAACTGTAAGACACTTTAAAATATCTTGAAATATGCAGACTAAATATTTCAGGTATCTGAGTCATATAAGGAGACAGATTGGCAAGCAACCTTTGCCATATAGATGGCATCTTCAGGAGAAGATGAAGGGAGGGGGGAGAACTGACACATGATTCAGCTGTCAATTTGCAAGGCCCTTCCTGAACCACTGCGTTTCCCAGGCCCCGTTTTATGGTGAATTAAAATCTCTCTGTCCCAGTACGTTGTTTTGTAAATGACAGTGCTTTTGGAGCTGCCTTGTTGTCTGCCTGTAATTGTAGAAAAGGTGGGATTGTGATGCAAAAAGTCTGTGATGGCACACGCTGTAAATGTCCTCACTGCAGGGGGTGGGTGGGGTATCTAAAGAGTACAAGTAATGCGTTGCATGGGCAAAGATAACAAGTCTGGAACCTCAAAAGTTGCTGCAATAATAATCACTGCTTTTCTCCCATTAAAAAAAAAAAGTTAATTTCTATTGTCTATTTTTAGATCATAGTAGAATGCACGTTCCTCGATTACATCATGGGTGGGTGTCAGCTGAATTTTACAGTAAGTTAAATCATTTATATAAAGTAGCTTTTGAAGAAACTGAAGTATATAATTAGTTGTCTGTGCTTTTCATTTGATTACTGGTCTTTTTGGTGTGTTTTTTGCTCTGTAGCATGGAGGGGGAATCCATTTTGCCAGAGTCGATCAAGCCTGTTTAGGAAAAAAATATTTTCTTTACTCACGGCACAAAGTTCTGAACCTTTAGTTACATTCATTAGCTGAGCTGGATGGGTGGAGACCAAGGAGAAATTTACAGCTGGGGTTTACTTCAAGTTTGGTTTGGTTTCATAGAATGCTTCGGGTTGGAAGGGACCTTTAAAGGTCATCTAGCCCAACCCCGTTGCAGTAAGTAGGTGTGGTGGTTTAAACCACTTTTA